CAAATGTAAACGAGTTACGCTGAAAAAAAAAGAGAAAAAAATGAATTAAATATCGTTGTGCACTTTAGTTGCATTACCCGTACAATCCATTTTCCCCTTAAATTATTGTACTGCTATTTTTACAGTAATACACATTTGATTTGAGTGATTCAATGATTTTACAGTACTTATTATTATAAAAATTACGATAAATCAGATAAACTGAAAAATTACGTTCCGTAACATGTTTCGGTAAAATGGATTTTACGGTAAAAAGTACAGACACTTTTGAGTGAGTGCCGGCCCTCAGGAGAGTGCCGGTACTTTTTGCAATAATTTGTTCGGTTAATTTTTGCAGTGTAAGATAGAAAGCCATAGTCAATTGCAGTTAATATTTAGGTTATTTTAAGGATATTCTCATTTTCTTCTTCTGATTTTTCATGTAAAGAATAAAATATTTTAACTCAAAGAACATATGTTATTTTTGTGCTGCCGCATAAAATTAAGTAGAACAACGGATAAGAATACAAAGGTATTGTTCTAATCGTAAGGAATTTTCTTATTTTTTTAAATTTCTTTTCCGAGTTGGTATAAAGTTTTCTTTCTCATTCTACCACATATTCTCCTTATTCTTACTTAGAAATGACATTACTTCGTTCCAATCTTGTTACCATTCCTCTTTGGTTTATTTCTTGTAGTATTCACACCATTTTCTCCTCATTTTGAGTTTTTTTTAATACAGTCGTTGCATTTTTATCATAGAACTACATAGTTAAAAATTCCGCATCAAGCTTCGTTAAAAAAACTTTCGCAAATTTCGCTTTCAAATTTACGGTACTCAGTGTGTTTTTTCAATTTTTATCGTAAAGTTATACGGAACAAAAAATCTAACGCGCCACAACTTCTTAATAGCATTTACAGTAAAATCAAATCAGAGTAATTAAATAAATAAATTAATATTTTTAAAATAATATTTACTGTAACATCTTCAAAATTACTGTAATTAAATAAATAAATTATTATTTTTACGGTGATATTTACTGTAAAATCACATCGTTATTATTTATTAAAGTGATTGTGGGAATAAAGTGATGTGGGAGTGAAGTGATGATGGGAGGATTACAAAGTAGACCTCTGTAATTAAATAAACAATGCTTTAAAATTACAGTATAAAATGAATTTCACTATAAAATTTGTTTTACCGATGCTGCACGATGCCCGTAATTTTATCCAAAAGCTTTTACACAGCAAATACTTCTGGATTTGTCTTTTATTTAATGCATTTTAGTTTTTTTATGCAGTTTTGCTACTTTATTTGCAAATTGATTTATTTATTATTGAGATAAATATAAATTTAAAAGTTAGGAATATAGAATAATAATAATTGACCTAAATGTCCTTGTATCGAATTAGATTAACAGTTTAAAATAGAATAGAATAGCAATTAAAAACAATTAGAATCTCAGTGAACAATTGGATTAACACATTTAAATTTATAGGTAGGAATATAGAATGACAATACTAATTGAATAACTAATTGAATCATGCGTTTTTTAATAGAAACTTATATTCGTAAATTGACAATTAACACACTTTATAAATTGGATTTTGAAATTAATAATCTTCCACATCCAAATAAGCAAAATTATGCGCAAGTTGGGCAATTATGGGGGGGACTTAGTATGGTAGTAGACTTGTTTGGGACTTAGTAGGTATGTATGGGACTTAGTGTTATATGCAATTATGGGATATAGAATAACAATTTGCTAATTGAATCATACGTTCTTTAATCGAACCATACGTTCGTAAATAGACAATTAACACACTTTATAAATTGGATTTTAAAATTAACAATTTTCCACATCCAAATAAGCAAAGTAAATAAATAATGTAATTGTATAAGAAAACTCTGTAGTAGATAGTATAGTAATCCGTATTTGAAAAATGTAGTCATTTTACGCTTGAGAAGGAGGAAAAAGGATGAAACGTCTTTGAAACATCATGCGTGTTCTTTAAAACATTGAGTTGTTTTTAAGCCACTTTTTCGGGGGAGGGAGTAGAAAAGTGTGTTAAACGATCAGATTTCCAGTGTTAATCAAAGTGCATACACGGCAGAAAAAAAGAGGTGAAAGGGAATATTCCACTGGTGTCAGAAGAGCTGAGAATCTCGCAATTATTTGAAGTAGAAGAACCTTCCTTAGAAAAAAACAGAGTATCAAGCAATATTATGGATTTAAAATGTTTATACACGAGAGAAAAAGAAATAAGAAAAAAAGCACATCTCCTAGTCACCATGGAGTCATTGATTTTGCCTTCGTCTACTGACGACATAAATTTTAAGGAAAAACTAGAATATCCTAAAATATTAGAATCTATAAATATTCAATAAGTACTAACTGCAAACATGAAAGTAAACAAAGGGGTAAGGGGGGAAGGCATTTCTCCTGGTTAAAATAGAGGCGTGAATCCCGTATTTATTAGAAGAAAATCTTCGGTAAGAAAAAGCATAATATCAGGCAATATTATAGGTTTTCATTGTGTATTAAAGTGTATACATGAGAAAAATTTGTAAAAAATTAATAAATGAAGGAATTGACACCATGGGAATGTGAATTTGGTACCCTGTAAAAAAGTCCGGATCAAATTACGGTAAAACGTACCGGTATTGAGATCGGTGAGTACTTCCTAATGTAATATGCATTTCTCCCGGAACATGTTAGGGCTCAAAAATTCTGATTTTTACAAATAAAGTTACCGAAAATCACTGAATCACTCTAATTAAATAAACATTACTGTAAAAACTACGATGTAATATTATAGGATGAAAACAGATTTTACGAATTACATCCAAAGTGCCGGTATTTTATACCGTAGTTTGATTCGGAATTTTGTACAGTGCATTTATTTGAAGAGGATAAACCTTCCGCAAGGAAATGCAGCATAGCAAACAATACCATTGCTATTTAATGCATATCAAGGTGTACAAGATAAAACTAAAAAAAAACTTAACACTCATTTTACAAATAATGTTCTCGTTTCTGGAAAATAAGGTGAAAGCGAACAACAAAATCGTGTTACATACCATTTTTATTAATAGCATATACTTAAGTGGGATCATCAGTTTCTTTCTAAACGAAGGTTGGTGACAGTAAGCCGCCGTAAAGGGCAATTATAATGTTGTAACTGGCGCTTGATTTATGAACGACTTTAACAAAAGTTTTATATTTTAACCCAGTATTTTATGTCAAAATGGCGAAAGTTTGACACTTCATAAAACCGTACTTGTCAACTAAGCCTTTCTTTTATGAATTACACGTTATAATAGGTGATGTTACACCGGGTTTCGTCTTAAATTTAAAGCGAGTTCACTTTATAACTACTGAAAATTTATTTCAAATATATAGCATAAAAGATTTTATGACAATGTTGACTATCTTTTTACTGAGCAGCTTAATAATTTCTGTGCTTTACATTTTAAGTTGTATCTTGAACTATGCATTGAGCTTAAACTCTTTGTTAGGTGTATATTTAAATCATAACATTTAACTTATTTTGTATGAAAAATGTAAAAAACAGATTAGTTCATTTATTATAATGATTCAAATCATGGTAATGTATATATTCACTGTATTAACTTTGATTAATATTTTTTTCTTAAAAATCAGAGAATTTTTTCTGAATTTACTTGATAGAGTAATTTCAATGCTTTTTTATGTTATTTTAGATTGAAATATTGAAAATATTGTCTTTATCAATTTATGTACAGTGTGCAAAAGGAAAAAAAACAATGAATAAGCGGACCACTGACAAAAGGATACATAACTTTTGATCTTATATAATAATAATAAGTGATAGCTGTAATAGGATAATATAATAATGATAGTGGATAGCAAAAATATAGGGGATAGCCTGGGAAAAATAATTCCAATAGTTTGGTAAGGCGAGTGGTCCAAAGTTTAGACCCCTAAATGCTAATTTTTCTTTTTCTGTATTTCACCATGTCTGAACAATTTTTTAAGTTGACTGAAAGAATTTTGCATATATTTATAAAATTCGTTTATCCAAAGATAACGCCATGCAAATAAAATAATTTATTAAATATTTATTATTTTATTTAATGCTATTTGAAAAATTATGAATTGCATGATATACAATTTTTACATTATTTTAAAGAATATAATTTTACACGGCAAAATGATTGAAACATTTGAGAGTAATCAGTTAAATAGCTCCGGAGAATCGAATTTTAAAATGCAGTCTTTTTTCCAGATTGCGGATACCCCCTATATTTTTAGGATACAAAATCCAAATCCTTCATAAAAAAGAGAAGGTTTTTTTTTGATAGAGAAAGTACGTTTTTGTATGTGATTTCGTAACTTAAACTATCTTCTGCGCTAGTTAGCATATTTGAGATCAAGCACTCGAACCATTAAGGAGAATTATTAGAACGTGAAGATGATCATTGGATAAAAAGTTAATCATAATTATTCGTTTATTATTATTTTTTTGCTCACAGTTCAATTTAGCATATCTGAAAGACACTGCTTATGATTTGAACTTCGATTTTTATCTAAAATCAAGTGTGTTCTAAGAACAGTGTGTAAGTCCAGATGAAAAAGTCGGTTTTTTTTATCCGAATTGGTTGACGAAACTTAATACTTGCAAGCAAATAACACCCCAAAATATCTTTCTTTAAGCAATACGCATTTATTTTCACTGTCTTAAAAAGTTTAGTTAAAGTATGTTTAAATATATAAGCATAGTTTCGGTAATTTTTGAACTTTCATGTCTATAAGGAAAAGAAACAGCAAATAGATATATTTTTACGAAGTATTTTTACTATCACTTTTACAACCAAACAGAATTTCCTCAAATTGCTTTTAAAAATGTCTATTTTAGAACGACGGTATCGATTTTTCTTTTTCTTTGACGAGCAAGTTTCCTAAAGTTAATATTTGTCAGTCAAATTTGAGAAAGATCATTTCAAGATTGAGATCGAATTGCAATTAACTTACTTTTTCCAGTCCCACATTGTCTACATTCCAAGAAATGACAGGAATCCCTAAATATCCTGTGAGTTGAAGTAGATACTGAACAGAAGCCGCATTCAGGCCATAAACCTCCGAGTTCGTTAAATAAATTATCGTTATAACGTTCTGCTCCAGAAGAACACTACAAAGAGTTGTAAGAATTTCAAGCGGACTCGCCGACAGTGGCATCATTAGCCAAGGACCTTGAGCTATTCTGGAATGCTTAGTGAAGTTGAAGTTGTAGTACTTGTTTTCATTCAAGTTCTTTGTGGCATCCAGCATTCTTTTGAAATACATTCTCTGAAAAGTTGTGAGGGATGTCTTTGGTAAAATAGCTCCTAAGTGGACTTCTGATATTTTAGAATTGCTAAGTTTCCATTCATGAGTTCTTCTGTTTTCAGAATAAGGACAAATTGCCAGAAGTATAATCACAAAAAGCATTGTTTTCAATTTATATTTAAAACTAACTCTATGTAACACTTGAGAACATTGATGAAATAGCGTTTCTCCATTCATGGTAAATTATTGAAGAGACAAGATAACACACAAAAATTTATATTTGTCAGCAATTGTGTTGAGATGACATTAATGTATTGATTACACTGAGATATATATTCGTTAGCAATTAGCTGCCATGAAGGGTCAGAGTTCACTGAACTGGAAAGAGATTATTGCGATATATGTGATAACATTGTTCTTAAAAATCAAACACAGATAAACTTTTCTTTCAAATGAATAACACCAGAGTCTCACTAAAAATCATTTACCAAAAATAATGAGTTGCTGTTTGATGCTATATACATTTAACCAATAGCTACTGCATCGTAATTCATCAACATTAACGCTTCTTATAGAATCTTCTGGGCTATTTGGGCTTAAAATTAGAGTTTATAGTTTTATGGTTGCTTCTGTGGTTCCTCGTGTAAATCTTTACAAATTATAATGCAATATTTAACAATCATAAGAAAATACTTTTCTACCATGGAGTATTTATCAATACAAAAAGCATCAGTCTAAAAAATTGTTCTTGACGTATGCGTACATTTCAGCTCTGTCATTTCTTATTACTTTCGCCTAATTATTCAAATTTCATCACACATTTGCTTGCGTATTTTTTAAAAGAATGTTTCTTTCTTCTAATTATTATTATCAGTAAAACTCAGTTATATGAATTTAAATTTTCTTTAATTAAACAATATAAGAAAAAAGCTATTATTCTCCGAATCCAAAAGAACCGTTTTCAAAATAAAAATCACAAATTTTTGAAGCAAAGAATTTATGATGGCTGTGTACTGGAATCGAAAACATTTCTTTAACTTTCTTTAATAACAACTTGGTTTACTTGTTTTCAATCATCATTGTTTTAATTGGTGTTTTTGCTTTTTCATATATATATTATCATTAACTTTGTGTGAAGTGTCTTTTGCTTCATATGTTCTCTGTAATAAAAAAGAACACATGTTAAGAATATAAAATGCATAAAAGTATATCTAAATTTATTGATATATATAAAAAGAATAAAATTTCAATCACAAAAAAGACAGATTAAAAAAAAAATGATAAACAGATTTTACTATTTTATTGGTGGTTATTATTTAATTTTCATTTTTTTTGCAACTATTAGGTTTTTTTAAGCAATATTCCCATAAAATTTCACGTCATTTTGTTTCGAAAATTTATTGATTCATAACGCAAAAATGCATGCAAGGCGAAAAAAATCAAATCCATCGAAATGTAATAATAATATAAAATATATACTTAAATATTTATTTAGATAAATTTTGTTGTTTGTTACAAGACTTTGTAAACACCAAGAGAAAACATTCCCGAACATGAAAATACTACAATGGAAATTGTTTTTGAAATCCTGATTTAAATTGAAATTTCAAATATAAAATCCATACTAAAATTTGCCTAAACCAAAAGAATTGACAATACCAAATTTTTTAAAATTTTAAAACAGTGTCCATAAACCTGTAAAAACTATATAATAAGTATATTAATTTGTTCTTAACCATATTAATCTGGTCGAGAAATTTTTGCAGCGTATGAAGTACAGAAAATACGTACAGTCATATGTCTGTAGGTATTTTTTTTAAAGATATTTAAAAAAATCCGTAAAATAGGAAATAAAAGTAAAGTTTAAATAAACTCTCATTTAGTGCATTAATCTAAGACGTTAATGATAATAGACCAATAATTCAAGTTTTTTTTTAACATAAGCTTAATGAAAAAGGCACAAAAATACCTGAAAATGCAAAAAATATAAACAAATAAGCTTTTCGTTATAAAAATTGCTTTACACATTTTCTCATAGAATTAACTTGCAGAAAACTGACTTTCGATTCTGACTGATGCAATGCTGCAATCCGATGCTCATTGAGTTAAAAAAAATTTTAGAAAGTAAAAAAAAATACAGTAGTCAAACCTCCTCTACGGTTACAGCCACTAAATTTATCTTACAGTGACAGTAATGCTAAATGACAGCTAGTAATGTTAAAAAAACAACCATTTGCATGATGTCACAAATTCAAATTGATCATAATATTTTAAATGCATCATAATCTTTATATAATAATCCTTTTTTGAGACACATGAAAAGCCATACAACTTAATTCATGTATTTCTTCTTTTAAAATCGTCTTCAATGTATGCTATATTTACGTAAATTAGGTCCTTTTAACTTAAAATTAGGGGGAATGAAAGGTCACAAACAATTTCTTGAGTGGATTAGCTAGCTTATTTGAATAAAATCGTATTGAGCCTAAGGTCCATTTATGCTGTTAATAGTTTCCTTAATTGGTATTTTTTATAAATATTATTTATAAGGAGTTGCAAATTTATATAATTCAATCAATGCTTTTTATATTAAAAATAAAATATAGCGTAGCCTTTATTGGATTTTCACATTTGAGCTTCTGAAACTTAAATATTTTTTTTAAAAAGAAAAAAAAGTAAAAGAATACTTTTGTCAAGTTTCATTAACTTCATAGTTGATCACCAGAGTCATGAATAAAACATAAACAATATTTCGCCGAAGATAGAATGCCTGACTTCTGTTATCAAGTGCCTATACTATAAATTTTCTGTTCATATGTAAATGTGATTGTATTATATATTTATATATGCATTTGCAAAACTTGTCTTCCTTCCGTGTATAGTACTTTTGAAAAAAAAATTGAAAAACATATCTTGGGTTTCTCAAGTAAAAGATAACATATTTTACAATTAATTTATCTTACATAACCTTCGAACTTATTCCCATAATCTTGTCTTTTAAGTGTGGAAATGCTTTTTAGTAAAGTATCCCTGATAAATATGTCATTTTCCTTTGTGAAACGTAAATAAAAATCATCGCAAAAATTGCTCATGCGCAATTGAGTGGTTGTACTGTGTGCAAGTCAATTCCTTTAACCGACTGCTGCTGAAAAAAAATGCCAATATAACATTAGATATTATATCGAAATGATTAAAAAATTTCCCTCTTAAAATAATATTGATCATAACTATCGTCTTATTCTTCGATAATGAAGGGATATCTTTAAATTAAACATTTTATTTCAACATGCATTTGAAATGCTTATGCGAATAAATAATCGAAGTACCTAACCCTAGGGATTAACTGTTTCTTCGTCTAAGATAATTAGAAGATTATCTTGGATAAATAGTAACTAAAGAACGGAAAATATTTAACTTTGCTTTCATAACGGTAAAATTTTTTTGACGGGACAATGTGCCCAAATCTTAGCCAGAAAATGTGATCAAAATATCGGGAAATTAACATTTATGTTACTGTTACGACATCAACTAGCGAATATGAAATTTAAGAGTAAGATAAATATTTTTGAATAAAATTTTATATTTAAAAATTACATTAACGTATCAATTTTTAAAGCGTGCATAATCAAGGTTATGAGTTTGGAATTCCTTTAAATAATATATAATATTCAAGGATAAAAATATTTCTCAGTAGATAGTACTTCAATAACAATAGGTAATGGATCGTTTTATTTTATAACATCGTCTACTATTGAATGAAAGATTTGGAAGACAAATATCGAAAATAAAACTAGAAAATATTATCTGCAATTTTCAGCGATATCTTGTTCGTGTTTGGCACATAAACTCGCTTATTTAGTTGGAATTCCAATAGATATCATGACATATTTAGCTGTAGAAAGCGTTGCAGTGAAAATAAATTATGCATATTGCATAGCTGTATTTCATATTGTTATGATCCTATCTACTGGCAAACCCAAAATTTGAAGAACATTAAAAAAAAATTCTGTATGTAAGAAGATAAATTTTTGAGAATACTTCATAACTCAATTTAGTTTTTTAAAGCTAATATGAGTCAGGTTATTTATTTCAAGTTCTGCAAATGAAAAAAAATTATAAAAATATTAATATAGAAAGGGTATATTTTCCATGGAATGCGCGAGCTAAATAATTTTAACCGAATATTTTTTTGAATTTAGATGATAAAGGGTTTATAGTGGACGTTTACAAATTCTATTACAGCTAAAGAATAGTTTTAAATTTTAGGTCGCTGTTCAAAATCGATTTATATGCTAAATATTAAACGTTTTGAGTAAAAAAAAAGTTGAAAGAGCTGTTTTTGAGAGCAGACAATTAAGCTAGGGCTGTTAAAGATCAAAATGATATGGGAAGCTTGGAAGAACTTAATATCGGACAATTATGGGTTGTCGATCCTTCTCGAGTTACGACCTTAATGATCCACTTACTTCCTTAATCTACATACTTTGCAGAAGAATTGCGGTCATCGATTTTTTATACAGAAGCGCATGAAGAGGAAGTTTGTTGTTGAATGTGAAGTTATGTTGATGGAAGAAATATATTTAATATAGCTTGCCATAGAAGTTGTGAAGTTAATGGTGATGTTTTTCCTATAATGTATTTTATGAACTATTTTACATTGTGAAAGTATGTATAAGAGAGAACTAAACTTCAGTATGGAATTTATAGATTTATACATTTCATATTTTGTTAGAAAATATCTGGATACGGAATATAGTTTAACTTCATTCAGTTTTAAAAATAGTTGCTCTTTTTATCATAATTTAAGTAGTTAAAAATCTTTTATAGCAAAATAATATTTACATGATTACTAGTAAATTCTATTACTAGTAAATCATATAAAATATAAACTTTTTAATGATCTATTCCTGTAAATCGTTTACTTTAAAACCTGTGATGTTAAATTACTGTGATGTAATAACAATTACATCAGTATATCTTGTGATGTAATGGTGTGAAATCTTTCATGTAATATCGATCCAAATATGGTGTTGACGAAAAACAAAAAATTGTGTAAAGAAACACTTTTTTAAGGCTCATGCCAAAATAATGCCAAAGGATTTGAATATCCTCTAAAGATTGTTTACATTTTAATACAAGTTGGCTTATTTTAGTAAATATTCCCGCTATAATATACATCAACCAAAACAAAATATCCCCGTTAAAATAATTTACACATGTTTTTAGTAGTGTAATATTATGTTATCTCTGTGCTGCTCTCATGTTTCATTTACAAATTCATTTTGATTTGAAAATTAATGCAAATGAATGAATTTTCTGAATGAATGATTTAATTCTAAATGCGTGATTTAATTCTATTCTTAATGAATAATTTTTACTTTATGTTGCATCGCAATGATACATTTATTGATGCTTATGTGCATCTTCTTTTTTGCTATAATTATAAATTTTATTGCTACTGAATGTAAAAATGATGGCTTTTATTTCAAATAGTGTGAGAGAACACCTCTGGTGCAGAAGAACACTCAGTGGAGCAACAATTTGATGTAAAGTAGTTGACACCACAATGTCTAAATTTACTATTTTTTTCTAATATCATTTGCAATAATCTATTTTTTTTAAATAACAGACGGATTTATATTACAAAATAGTGATTTTTTCCAACAATTTTTGGGGGTTTCTGTTTAATGTTATTATATATATTTTATTAAATTCTATATAATCGAGTGTTGCTGTAAACATTTGAAAATTGGCCGACCGGCCTGTGTAGGGGGCAGGGAACTGTCGCTGCATCAGAAAGGTTCTGGGTTCGAATCCCGGGAAGGGCATGGACGTTTCTTTCTCTCTATATGTGTTCTATGTCCTTTCTCCTTTGTGTTTGAATGTGACCCGCCCTATAAACGGGTTGTGGTAGTGTGACGTGGGCAACGTTGCTCCACAGTCGTGGCTTGGCCGCAGGTGCCCACTGGGTAACGAAAAGAGAGTTAGCAGTTCTGGCACTTTCTGTGGCCAATGGACAATAGTTCCAAGTGCTGACCATTAAAAAAAATAAAACAACGCATTTGAAAATTGTTAAACGTGTATTTTCTTTTTTGTAAAGGGAATAGATGGGTTTCGGAAAAAGTGGTTTATAAGGAAGGGGATTTTTTTTTGTTAATTC